CATTCCGAGAAAGCCTCTTTTGAAATGGAGTTTAGCTCGGCTGTCGTTGCAACCATAATGTCCTCTCTTGTCTGAAATCGCGTTCCTTTCAATGGCCTCTTGAGTTTGGGGAACAGCCAGAAGTTGCAAGGAGCCATATCAGGAGAGTAAGGAGCCTGTTGACTACTTTGAGGTTGATTAGGTTTCCAACGCTCCAGGTATGCCAGTTTTTATTCCCCGGCCAAAGGTCGGATACTTTTCTCACAGGCCTCGTATATACTGGTTCTGATTTTATGTCAGGGGCTCTGTTTTGCAATACCAAGGACATGATGTGAAACCTCGTCTGTATGGTTGAAGTTGAGTAGTTACCTAGCAATGTCTCGTTGAATGCTTCCATTTTCATAATTCTGTGAACTGGCTGTTGGCTTTCCATTTTTTCTGTGTGTGTGTGTTTGGAGTTACCTTTTTGTGTCCATTTTTTTATACTACTTGTGGCTCTTCTTCTACTGGAGTCAGTCTGTTTTTGGTCACGTTTGTATTGTTGTGGATGGAGTTGGACTCATGTTGATTATGTACACCTTATATATTGTTTTCAGAGTTCTTTATTTTACTAGCTCCAGGCCTTGATTCTGTCCATTTTATGACATTCCACTTCTTTGAGGGCAAAGAGCATACCTGTTTTAGAAGTAGTGCAGTTCCCCACATTTGTGTTTTCATTCATTTATGGAGCACACCTGTTCAATTCTCTACGGAATGCCTTTCACAGAGGATCTTTTGTTTTATCTTACACCAGTCCCTCAAGCTACACAATGTGGTATTCTAGCTATTGTGTGAGAGGAGGTACGTATCATATCGAAAGTTATCACTTTCTTACACTGAAAATAGATTTCCAATAGATACTTACTAGATACTATTTTTAGTGTAAGAAAATGGGTCTTTGTTTTTTAGCTGTTGACTGTTGATGAAAATTAATCCTACTTTTTATACTAATGTTACTACTGCGCTAAATAATTTATTATTTAATTACATATTATCTCAAAAAACACAGAATAATAACTTGCAAAAAGCAGAAAATATCCTATAACTATCCCAGTTTTTCTGGCTTTCTAACTATGTGACAAGAGCCATTAAAAATTCAACTAAGCTCGTTGATGTGTTTCCCATGGAATTAAAGTTTGCATTGAAAGCGAAATAGGCAGTTTTCTGTACAGAAAACAATGTAATATAATAGTATTATATATTATATAATATTATATATTATATAGTATTACATAGTATAGTATTAAACATAAAAGAGAACTATTGGCGATTTCTGAAAGAGAGGATGTGACACGTGAGCATAGCAAAAGGGGTCTGATTTTCTAGTTTATGGCTCTGTAACCAAATAATATTGAAGGATAAGAAAATTTTGCTTTGCTGGAGTGATGACAATATTATAATGACTAATTTACGTTGAATTTCGTACTTCTAGGAGGGGTGGTAAATAAATTAGAGAAGAGGGGATACCTAAAGAACAAATATCACAATTCTCATAATAGGGGAAATTGAGGATTTTTTAATATTGCCTTATAAAATTAAGAACTTAAAACTTATATAATATTAAAATTTGGATTATTAGCTATATCTAGCCAAGTTTATTTATATACCATGATAATAAAGTACTTTTAACTAAATTTTGAATGTAACTCACTAAAACCTCATGACATGCACAGAAATGGATATGCATAGAAAGAAGGTCAAAATGTTATCAATATAAAAAAGATATATGGGTGGGAACTAGTTTATATCTCTGTTAACCCTCCATACAGGTTGGTCGATGTGACTGACCTTATAATCAGAAAGTAAGCATCAGAGTTTCTATACTGTTCATTTTAATGTTTTGAATACATTCATGAAATTTGGCAAGCTTTTAATGAACATTACAAGTATGCAAGAATCAGAATTTTTAAATAATTTTTTTTACAAAAGATTTTTCTGTGAATATATGGAGTAAGTGTTGACTGCTCTGAGTGCAAAGTAATTTTCATGTTAAGATTAAAATTACTTTTCTGCATCTAAAACCTCCTAAATAAATATCAAACGTTTTTTTCAGTAATACTTTATATTTTATTTCTTATTTTCTGTACCCTAACTCTAAACAGATTCAGTAGATTTTACTAACTAGTAACCACCATAAAAATATGAAATCAATTTAAATTACCCTTTTTTTCCTTTCTAGAGTGACTGCAGATTGTAACCAAAAACTACGGTTGTTTATTTTAAATAGCATAAGGCTCATAACAGTATACATGAATTTATATGTAATTTTATTGTTTTATTGCACTTTGAAATGTGTTTAACTAATAATACTGCCATACAAATTGTAAATCACTTTGCAAACTCATACTCATAGCTCACATTACCATGTTGAAAGATGTAACATACAAGTTGCTCACAAGCATACACTGTGAAGAATTATTATTATTTTTTTGTTATCTTACCTAATCAAATCTAATAAGTTTCTACTGTTTACATCTTAGTTACTTTTATAACAATAAATAAAAAATATACATGGAAAACAAGAAATATAGTACTTATGTTTGATCTCTTGTTTTTTGGCTGTTGGTTGTTGAGGAAAGTTAAGCCTTCTTTTTTATAATGATAGTACTAGTACACTAAGTAATTTTTATTTACTTAAATAATGCACTTAAGAACAGAGAATAATAACTTGCACAAAGCAAACAATGTCCTATAATTATTATAATTTAACTGGTTTTCTAACTAAAACAAAGGACTTAAATAAATTTCCATAGCTGCTTGATCTGAAGACCACGAGATAAACTTTCAAACTGAAGACAAAATTGACAGTACTCTGTACTGAAACCAATGTCACATTATACAATGTTTAGTAGTTTAATACTTTACCTTTCTCCTTGTTATAAATGATATAGTCTAAATTATCAAAGAGAATTAATGGCTATATGTGAAAGAGAGGACAGGCAAGTGGGACTGATTTTCTAGTTTATGACTCGGTAAATAAATAAGATTGAAGGCTAGAAAAATTAGACTTTGTCTTAGTAATATCTATATTATAACAAGTAATGTACATCAAATTCTATACTTCAGGGAGGGATGGTATATAAATTAGAGAAGGGGAAGACGTAGAGAACAAATTTCACAATTCTCATACTAGGGGGACATTGAGGATTTTTTAAAAATATTTCTTTATAAAATTAAGAATTTAAACCTCATACACTATTAAAATTTGATTTATTAACTATGTTCTGATGCTAAGTTTATTCACATACATTGATAATAAAGTAATTTATTAAATTTTGAATATAACTCAGTAAAAGGTCATGACATGCACACTTTGACCTACCCATTGTAAGAGAGTTAAGGATATTATAAATCAACTGTTCATTGGACCAGCATGATCCAACTAATGGCCCACAGGCTGCATCTGACCTTATAAGTAATTTTGATCTGGCTTGCATACTCATAATTAATGACATGTTCAATTTCATATTCATATATTAAGAAAACCTTAACTTGCAAATAAATCTTAATAGAGAAATCCCATGTTATTATATCATGAGTAATCTACAGTATTTTCCTTTGTCTACAGTCAAGTAGTCCTTCATAGGTAAGTCGTTGGGTGACCCTAACCGAAATAATTAAAAAGAGGATTAGAGCTTTGTAATATATGCTATTTTGTATGATGAAAATATAGATATCATTTTTAATGTTTTTCTTTTATATATATTAACAATTAATAAAAAATTACCTGTCTAAGATATTTAAGTTTGCTGTAAATGTGTGTCGAAAAGAAAAAGAAATTCAGTTTTTTTAGGAAACCAAATAATGATTTTTTTCTCAGGACTATCTGACAGCTTTACATGTGGCTGCTCACTGTGGCCATGTCAAAGTGGCAAAAATTCTTCTAGATCGTAAAGCTGACCCTAATGCTAGAGCCTTGAATGGTTTCACTCCACTTCACATTGCCTGTAAGAAGAACAGAATCAAGATTGTTGAACTGCTCTTGAAACATGGAGGCTCCATTGAAGCTAGAACAGAGGTATGATTACTTAATGTTATATATATATAAGATACCATAGTATATTGTAAAAGAAAATCGCATGCTGATATTATATGCCAGTTTAAAGACATACATATTATACTACTTTTATGCACAGTTTTATTTATTTGATCTTTATACATTGCTTTATTTAACATGTGGTTCCCATCTCTATCAGCATCTAAAGTTATTGTTTTATGATGTTAGTGTTCTTTACATGTGTGTATTTTATTGCACTGTGTTTTATAGTCCAGAAGTGTAATGTACAATGAAGGAGCAGGATTTCAGATAATGACTATATTCAAATTTTTTTGGTGATTTTCTTTGCCCATTCAATCAATTACTTTGGCCTGAAAGGCCTAATGTAAACAAGGCCTAACACAGTGGTTTTTGTTGGCATGGCAAAGCGTGATATCAACAAGTATAAAATTATCTAACTTAGTCCACTCCATTTTGTTTTATAAAAAGATTTATTTTCCTATAATATCATAACATTATAATTTAAATATAATATAAGATGATAAAACATTTTTTTTTACAAACTTAAAAAATAAGGGCTCACATGTAATTGTGATAAAAGCTGTTTGCAAATATGTTTTCCTCTAGCAACATATCACCAAACTAAACCTTTACACTTTTTCCTAATCTCTACATGAATCTCTTCTGCTCTGGAAGCCATATTGGCTTATACAGTTGAAAAGAAACAAAAAGATTTATTTATTTATATCACTAGTCTATGACACCTTGAAGCTGAGGTACAGGTAGTTACATCACACTAGGACAATCAAGGTTGAGAAACAGTGATTGGCTAATCAGTGATAAACATTTTCAGAAAACAATATCAGACTGAAGAGGATCCATGCTTGTGTTAAAACTAGTTTCTCTAACTTCAAGCCTTTTGATAACTTATTTCCATTTAATGTGGATTTTCACTAACTGCTACACTCAATATTACTAGTAAAAAATTAATTTCTAGTTATTAATTCTAATTTTGTTCTTTGAGTTTGAATAGCATAACACTGTGATTACTTGCAACAGAAATATTAACATATATATTTGTAAAGCTTAGAAATACTATACAAATGATGAACATTTTTATCATATTTTCTGTTTGGATATTTTTTTATTTCCCAGTCTGGCCTTACACCTCTCCATGTATCTGCTTTTATGGGAAATATGAACATTGTTATATTTTTGATCCAACATGGAGCTGACCCAGATATCCCAACAGTCCGGGGAGAAACTCCAATTCATTTAGCTGCAAGAGCTAACCAGGCAGACATTATACGCATTCTTTTACGAAATGGAGCTCACGTAGATGCCAAAGCTAGAGTGAGTATTTTATGAAATGGGTTTTTTAATTGTAATTAGCAATATGACATTGCATTTTCAAGTCATGTGAGTTCACATAATAAACGATTGTATGTTGCTAGAGTGTTTTCATTAATTTATAATACTCATTTTATGTTTTTGTATCAAAGTTTTTAGCATGAAGTATAAACATACTATTATTTGATTTTTAATGCAGTGCACAATGTTGAATTCCAAATAATTATAACATGACTAATGAAGCAACTTTGATTGTTGTTTAATTTTCTCTTGAATGTTTCATAGTTACTTTTTTATGAGGTCATTTCTGGAATCAAGACCTTTTTAAAATATGTATGTATATGGTATTATTATAAAGGAACATCAGACACCTTTGCACATTGCTGCTCGACTTGGGAACGTTGACATTGTGAGTCTGCTGATTCAACATGGTGCAGCAGTAGATGCCACAACTAAAGACATGTATACAGCTCTTCACATTGCTGCTAAAGAAGGACAGGAAGAGGTTGCCTCTCTTTTGTTAGATAATGGAGCATCTCTTACAGCTACTACACAGGTACAGTTACTCTTGCAGAATAAAAATTATATTCATAAAATTTCCCAAACTATACCAGGTATCATTACAAGGGTTTGGTTTGTAGAATAGAAACTACCAAAGAACTTTTAAAAAACGTTTCAGTGTTTTACATCACACAAGTAAGTGCACTATTTGGGGAAGGAAACTAGGAATAAGAAAGTAGTATTGTTGAAGACTTAAGAAGATTCCAGATAAAACTACTGACTAGTGCCACTTTCCCTCCATTTGCTATATTTTTTTCTAATTCTTTGTACATATTTCAAGAACCATTTTTTTTGGAGGTAGAGGAACAACTTCCTCTATTTACACCCTTTGTTATGATAGAAAATCAAACTCAAATTAATTTTATAAAAATTAATTTTATTTTGATTTTTTGAAAAGTTGCTTTTAATAATTAAGGAAGCATGATATCAACCACTTAAGTGTAAAATATCCACTTTATTCATGATCTACTTTGTTTATTTTTTTTTTTCATCTGAAGCTGATAAAAACTGAAATGTGAATATTGTTTTCTGGATATGATAAGAAATGAGTGCAAAATCAGAATTGCACACTAGAACAGTGTTTAGGATTAAAGTGAAACCACATGAAAAACAAATCTTGTAATCTTTCCAAATTATTTATGTGTGTTTGAAAACTGTGTAAAATTAATTTTCATTGATACATCTATAGAAAGGGTTCACTTCTCTTCATCTGACTGCTAAGTATGGAAATATCAAAGTGGCACGAATTTTAATCCAGAGAAATGCCCCAGTTGATGCCCAAGGAAAGGTGAGTTTTTTCTTCTGCTATAGAAATAATGTGTGAAAGATATTTTTTATTTTGGATGTAATATTTTTGAAAATTTTTACTCATAAATATTTTTCCATTGGTTTTACAGTCACTGTTTCAATCAGCAAATGTTACAAACTAATTGATAATCTCATTGATAATTTTTTACAAGATCTAATATGTGTAATAAGTCACTGCATCTGAAAAACCCATTTTAGTCTTACATATCATATCTATTCAACATGTTCTGATATATATCTTTTTAACACTACTGATTGGCAAATAAATAGCACTTTTTAAACAGTGTATCAGTGATTTGTATAGAGAAGTACTTAGGGTTGTTATATTCATGTTTTTCAGTGTTTAAGAATGTTCACATATAGGTAAGTAAGTATACATGGAAAGTATATTAATTGTAGCAATAATTGTTTAGTACTCCAGTGGGTCAGCGATAACTTTACAGACTCGCAATGCAAAAATCCAGGGTTAGATTCTTCGAGGTGGATACAGCAGATAGTTCAAGATGGCTTTGCTTTAAAACAAACAGACAAAGTGAAATTGTTTAAGTAGAGCTTAAAACAAATAATTATTATGTAGATCTCACAGTGCATATGCAATGCCCATATTTTAACGTACTGATCGATAATTGAATTTTTTTTATTATTAAAAACTTGATCTATATTTCTAAACAACGTATTTTAAAATGTTACTAAAAGAAGTCACTAGTATCATAAGTAGGGTAGTACTTATATTATGAATGAACTAGATGTGCAATACAAATTAAAATCTCAAACACACTTCAGACAGCATATAAATAAAACTTTATAAGCACTTTACACATACTGTAGAATAGCAAACAAACCAATTGCTTAGTAACAAGCCACCAAAGCACTTGAGAAAGTCGGTAGAGTAAAAACAAATGTTTCACAAATCCACATTTCTCAATGTGACTATTTGACTGACTAATGTTGTTGGAAAGGCGTATCTCTCTCCTCCTTCACCTTATGCAAATCTAAATGCACATAATTGAATTATGCTACCTTGGCTAAAAGCATTTTTCTTAGTTTTTACTTATAATCTCTGTAATAACAACTACCGTATTTTTCGGAATATAAGACGCACCCTTATTTTGAAGACAAAAGTTTTAGAGGAAAAAAAAGCTACAGTCGCAT